CAAGTTTTTATCATATCCAATAAACGATATCTGGTTGAAAGAACAGTTTTACTTTTTGCTCTGTTGTTATGATTGTTGGCTGTTCATCTTTTCGATTTAACCTTTAAACAAAATTGCAAAATACATATTTCATTTAGAAGCAATTGTTATTTGCAAGGTCCAAGTCAAAATTCAAGCTCTTATTGAACGTTATGAAACTACCGCTGATTCACTGAATCGGTGGTATTTCAGAGAAAAACCGTCAGGAAACTCTGTGTCTTGTTGTGTGTTGTATGTACACAAAATTACTTAAGTGTAAAATCAGCACCAGCTATGGGTCTTGCAAGTGCAGAGCAAGAATCATTAATTTGTATTTCTATACCAGATCATTGCTTTCTTTATTTTTTATTTTTTTTATTTCCATAATACATGATTTACCAAAAAAAAAACGAGCAAAGATCGTTCCTCCAGGTACTATACAACTTGCATAATCAACACCCGCTAATTATAAAGTAGAGTAAAGTAAAAGCCTATCAATGTCCCACTGCTGGGCAAAGGCCTCGTCTGTAAAGAGGGCGTATTCCACCACGCGACCCCACAGCGGATTGGCGGACTACATATTTTCGAAAAAAAATTTTTGTTAGTATTTCGAAAATATGCGGATTTCCTCACGATGTTTTCCTTCACCGCCGAGCGCATGATAAGTCAACACTTAAAATTAACAATTTCATTGATGCTGGCAACGGAGATCGAACTCAGGTTGCTCGAGTAAATTGAATTAAAGGCGAGCGCCCGGACACTGGGCTAGCACGGCTCTTATGCTACCAACTAAAACAGAAAGAAAAGCTAGCTGGGTGCTACCCAGGTTTAAGCGACTGGATTGATTTGAACTTGCCTTGTCACCATGTTAAATGTGTAAAAATAATTAGAACAAACGTGAGACGGTGATTTTTGATCTCAAGCGTCGAATTATTTGAAATTATACATTCATTGCATGTGTTCGACAAATCTAAATAGGAATCATAATTTAATAATAAGACGGCTGAACTCACGTAAACTCGGTGTATGTACCGACTAGTTTCGGAGTTCCTTCATCAGGATGAAAAAAAAAAAAAAAAAAAGTTAGTTCGCGGTCGCGCCCCGTTTCGCACTGAAACTGTGACTCGGTGTATGTACCGAAACTAGTCGGTACATACCGAGTTTACGTGAGTTCAACAGTCTTATTATAACGTCAATAATGTCTCGCGAAAGTTTTAATAAGAATCATAATAATATAATTTAACATTGTAATTTACATGTGTTTTTACAACGCTGTTACGTTTGTCTTATAAAATACAATCTTCATGAAAAAGCCATTTAATTAATTCTCTACAGAGATTACGAAGTAATCCAAAAATCCCACCAAAAGGCAGATTGTCACGACCGTTTTCCCTTTTACCCGTTACGTTTTCTTCCCAACAAGCCTCAAAGAAATAATATTTTACATTGAAATGAAAAAAAAAAACATGGGTTACATTTTTCATTAATCAATGTTATTCATAACTTTCAAGACAGAAAGCTTTATTCATACCAAGGACACACACAAAAAGTTTTTAGAACAGGCATGTTAGAAACATTTCCAATGAAAACTTTCTTTGAAAAAATTTTTAGTATATAGAACTCTTTGGTAACCTAATGTGATATATTGCATTGTCATGTCATTTTTATTTTGTGAATTGGTGACAATCATTAAAGTCTTGTTACACTTCAAAAGGAATTTAACGCGAGACAATTTTCGCTCTATGATTTTGCAACCCTAAGGGTTGCACACGTCGGCGGCGGTTATTACTTACCATCAGGTTAACCACCAGCTTGTTTGCCACGCTCTCACAAACAAAAAATACAATTTATCATCAAGACGGACGTTTGAACAAGGCGTTACACAATCGACTCTCTAAATATTTCTGTCAACCTTGTTTAAGAATCGAAACCTTAAAACTAGTATATTTTTAGTAACTCTGCATTTTCATTGTCAAATCGAATTACAGGTGAGTAAATGTTATAGCCTAATAACATAAGGGCTGTACTAAATTTAGAGATTTAACAGAGATTACAAACCCGCAATCACTAACCTAATTGGCTCGAGGCCCCTAGATTTAGCGAGAAAGATTTAGTCAGCGATTATAAATAATAATTGTTATGTGCTATTTAGCAATATTACATTTTAAATTTTAATCACACCACAATGTATTATCTATAGGATATCCTAAACAAATATGTCACGCAACTACCATGCCATACGGTTACACATTCCGTGTTACAGCATTGGTTTCAACTGTCCCCCTTTATTTTAAAGAATACTTGCACAGAGTTAAAATATTACCCTTTGCTTGTTATCTCAGACAAGAAATGAAAATAAAATTTTAACTATTAAATGTGAACTCAAAAGGTTTATTGTTACCAACTTTTTATTATTATGAATTAATTTAAAAGGAAATGAAGCCAATTTAAAGTACTTTCATAACATCTTAAGATAACTATGTAGTACATATCGGATATCTTAATTCTGCGTTGTGGCAAGTACGAGCCCACTAGCTACTGGAGATCCAGTAGCTAGTGGGCTGTAAATGGTGGTCCAAAATAAAGTTTTTACTTGGTGTGTTGATTACTTCTTCTCATTTAATGGATATTCTTATAAATTTTTCTTTTATTTTTTATGTTTACACATTTGCTGTCGATTAAACTTAAGAACAATTAAAAAAGTTCTTCTAACCTTCACTGCGCAACCATGAATTGTGTATTTTTTTCTTAAACGAAAACTAAGAATGTCCTTTACTTAACTAATTATATTTTCAGCACTTTTAAATTCAATCAAACAACTCGTGTGCAATCGCGCTCAATTCGCTTTACGTGGAGAGCGAATTTAGTTCCGAACCACTGCAAGTTAACGTAAGTTAACGTTGAGCGGTGCACTCGCAGAAAGAACATTGATAAATTTCCAACTGCACTCTAAGCAAGCACAATTTACAAATTCTGCTAAAGTAGATTACTCTTCTTTGGCGCATTATGCATTTATTTCTTTTTGCATAAAAAAAGTAAAGAAAAGAAACAGCTTATAAATGTACCATTGCCCAGCAATGGTACATTTATAGGCTGTGCCAATGCTGGGCAATGGTACATTTATAGGCTGTAAGTCGTCTGTAAAGAGGGTAGAATACTCCACCACGAGATCCCACTGCGAATGGCGGACTTCACATATTTGCAAAATATCTTTTTTTGTTATTATTTCGAAAATATGCAATTTTCCTCAATATTTTTTCCTTCAGCTCCGATCACGTGATAAGTCAGCACTTAAAATTAACAATTTCATTAGTGCCGTCACCAGAGATCGAACTCGGATTGCTCGACTAAATTGAGTTAAAGGTGCTTTGAGCTTACCCGGACACTGAGCTAAATATCATGAATAAATAATATTATCTAGACAAGGGTTTTATAAAACATCAGCGATGGATCTATTCACTGGGCACTACTAAAAGACAGTAACTTTTGTTTTATCGTTTTGTTTAAATTGGAATGTCAACTTGTTAACTTGAAAGGTCAATAAGCTTAGTCAAAGTTAGGCATAATTTGAGAATTGTTTTGTATGACAATTTTATCGGTCTAATTGTGTCATTATTTCGTTACAATTAGACGACGATTTTTTCACGAAAAGATGTCATTTTTTTTTTTCAGTTGATTATGGTAGTCTTTTAGCATACGAGTAAGCGTCTATCTTTCGGTAAGTTATTAACACCGGTCATATATGCCCGCAACACCAAAAGGTTTGCAAATTTTATTCTATGTGAGACCGTAGTTGTTTTCTGGTTAGGTTTTTAATAACACAACAAAGCTGCGAGGTTCTCTAACTTAGTTACAGAACCCCGTAGCCACAATACAACCTTCTTAAATGACCATAATAGCATTAAATTATTTGAGTAATTATCTTTTATACTTATTAACGCCTCGTCTGATATGACTATGTAGTTTATGCACTATTCGCATTAACAAACACGAGTTTAAAGGATTTGGTTAAGTAACCAAATTATGTGTAAAAAAAATGTTTTTGCTGTTGTCTCCCGAGTCTATGGCAACCCAACCGGGCGAACAATATTCATTATGACGTTTCGTGTTATACAAACAACACCTCGTACATTACTATCATAAAAGATTATAAGTACTACTTTAAATTTATAGTTATATAAATTTAAGTATTCCTTACGTATTTAGGATGGAAAATAAAAAGGAAAAACTGAAGAGAAAGCTAATGGAGCTTCTGTTTTCATCATCAGAAGGTATGTTTTTTCTACATAGAAACTGCTTTCCGCCATTTTGTTAACGTTTTAACTTCTTTAATGTTAAAAATGTTTTACGTGTACTAACATTCAAACGGCTTTACTTGCGGTATAACTAGTGAATATACGAGCAAAATAATTGACCAGATATACTTAATATAAAAATAAATAAAATGGAGATGTTAATATCGCACGGTCCTACGAGCGAGTACATGTGATAAAATATACCATCTCAAAAGGACATTATACGGTACTAAGAGCGAGTACATGTAATTCATCACTATTATACATATCGTAATACATTTTAAATTACAATTAGTATATATATCATACGGTGCTACGAGCGAGTACATGTGATATAATAATTGCATATAGTTTTTTCCATATTGGCTTCAATAAAATACCCGCAAAGTTATAATTAAAATTTGTATCATACGGTGCTACGAGCGAGTACATATGATCAACCGATACTTCACATATTAGCTACAATAAAATACCTCCAAATTTACAATTACAATGCGTATTATACGGTACAACGAGCGAGTACATGTAATACAATAATTGTATATTATATTATTGTCTCAGATGAACCAGAAACACCAATAATAGAGAAAAAGAAAAAACGAATAATTATAGAAAGTGATTCAGAAGAGGAGATAGAAAATATACCCCCCCCTTTTGTCTGAGAAATTGCCCAGTTTTCTACAAAAAATGGGCCATGTAGAAAAATCTGACCACAACATAAACATAAACAAGGACCTTAAAGACATGTGGAATAAATTGCTCACACAGGGGTTAGATGAAGAAGCCAAGGGAGACATTTTAAAACTTTACCCACAGATAAAAGATTGTCTTACTGTAGCACCAATTCTAAACCCGGAAATAAAAATTACGCTGTCATCCCAAGCAATAAAAAGAGATGAATGTATTTCTGAAAAACAAAACATCATTGGTACTGTAATTTGTGGCCTTACAGACATGTTGCTAAAAGATGATGAAAAAAGAACAGGATGATGACTGCACAGAATATTTAGGAAATTGTATAAGACTTTTATGTCACGTACACTTCAAAGAGTCCCAAACCAGAAGAGCAGTAATTTTACCTGGGCTAAGAAAAAGCCTAAAAGATTCTTTGGAAAAAAACTCAAATAACCGAAAACCTATTTGGTAAAGATATTGGCACAGTTCTAAAAGAAACTAAACTAATTGAGAATACCGCTAAGGACCTTAAGAAGCCTTTAAACAATTGGGGCCCGTCCTCACACATAAAGCAGGGCGGGCGAGACAACACCAGAAGACCAGCACAGCAGTACAGACCACTTCAGCAAAGTTCCACTCCGAAGTCACAGCAGCACCATCAGCAACAACGACAACATCAGCAACAACGACAACATCAGCAACAACGGCAACATCAGCAACAACGGCAACAGTTGCGCTCCTTGACAAGGCAGGCTGCCAAGGCAACGCAAAATCAGCGTCGTCGTCACCGGGAATAGAGGCAAGTTATGCTGGCAGATTAAGTAGATTTTATAAAAACTGGCTATTCACAAAAAACACTGCTGTGTTAAATTGGATAAAGCATGGTTACTCCATCCCTATTAAAAGAGTATGCCAGCATCAAACACCACAAAATAATTCTTTTTCTGATGCCAAAAATCAAAAGATCTCAAAATGTATATCTGAATTAATGAAAATAGGTGCAGTAACTTTAGAGACACAACCATTACAATTCCAGTTCACTTCAAAAATTTTTACAATCCCAAAAACAAATGGTTCAACCAGGTTTATTTTAAACTTAAAAGAATTTAATAAATTTATCCCAACTGTTCACTTTAAATTAGAAGACATTAGGACGGCTCTCCATCTCATTAATAAAAATTATTATATAGCATCACTTGATTTAAAAGATGCCTACTTCTTACTTAATGTAGAAGAAGAGTCTAGAAAATATTTAAGATTTTATTTTAATAACAATCTATACCAATTTAATGTCCTACCATTTGGTTTATCAACTGCACCTTATGTTTTTAACAAAATAATGAGACAAGTAGTTACACACCTAAGATCAAAAGGGATTACTCTGGTAAATTACCTTGATGACTTTCTTATCATAGCCTCATCCATAGAAGAATGCAAAAATAATCCGAAAATTGCCCGTCAATTTCTCCAATCCCTAGGTTTCATAATTAATTATGAAAAAAGCCAATTACAACCTAGCAAAAAATGTAAATTTTTGGGTTTCATATTAAATAGTGACAGTTTTTCATTAAGCATTCCAACAGAGAAAAGCATTAAAATTAACACTAAATTAAACTCTATAATACAAAAAAGAATTTGTACTATTAGGGAATTTGCTTCTCTTTTAGGCTCTTTAACTTCAATTTGTCCTTCGGTCCCATATGGGTGGATGTATACAAAAACATTAGAAAGACAAAAATATTTAGCTTTATTAAAATCTGGAGATAATTATGAATCAAAAATGAAAATCTGTCAAGAAATTATTCAGGATTTGTGTTGGTGGAAAAACATAATCTTTTCATGTTCTGCACCAATAAAACAAGGAAAGTATGAACTAGAATGTTATTCTGATGCCTCTACTACAGGCTGGGGAATTGTATGTGGCCAGAAAAAATTACATGGAACCTGGTCAAAACAGGAAAGTAAATATCATATTAACTATTTAGAACTCTTAGCAACTTACTTCGCATTGAAATGCTTTGCAAATAACAAAAGGCAATGTAATATATTAATTCGTTCGGATAACACTACTGCAATTTCCTATGTAAATAGAATGGGTGGCATACAGTTTCCTCATTTAAATTCCTTGTCTAGAAAAATATGGCAGTTTTGTGAAAAAAGACAGATTTATATTTTTGCTTCATACATACCATCAAAAGAAAATGTAGAAGCTGATTTACAATCTAGGTTATGTAATACAGAAACAGAATGGGAATTGGCTACCTATGCATATGAAAAAATAACTACAAAATTAGGTCTACCGGAAATTGATCTATTTGCCTCTCATGCAAATAAAAAATTTAAAAAATTTGTCTCTTGGAAAATTGAACCAGACTGTTTTTCAGTTGATGCCTTCACAATAGAGTGGACAAAACTAAAATTTTATGCATTTCCACCTTTTTCAATGATATTGCGCTGTTTAAAAAAGATTCAGGAGGATCATGCTGAGGGTATCATGGTAGTGCCGAACTGGCCTGGTCAAGCTTGGTATCCCCTCTTTATGTCACTGCTGATTTCGGACCTTGTTCATTTAAAACCCAATCAAAAACTACTGTCATCCATTTTCAGATCTTACCACCCCCTGCACAGGAAACTTTCACTAATTGCAGGGATTATCTGCAAAACCTACCTAAGAAAAGGATACTCCATAGAATGTATTAACATTATTTTAAGTTCACTCTAAACACTTTGCAACAATACAGCTCTTGTTATCAACAATGGTGGTGCTTCTGTAAAATAAATAAAGCTGATCCTACATTAAAATGCATTCCCTTATTATTACAATTTTTAACTGAAAAGTTCAAAGATTGTTGCACTTATGGTACTCTGAATAGTGTAAGATCAGCTTTATCTCTTCTTCTAGATAGTGAATTGAGTGCAAATCGGGATGTTAGCAGATTTTTTAGTGGTATTTTTAAGTTAAGACCTAACCAACCTAAATATAATGAAACTTGGGATCCAAGTTTAGTACTTGATTATGTTAGTAAACTTTACCCAAACACAGAATTAAAGTTAAATATTCTGTCTAAAAAATTGTTAATATTATTGGCTTTAACAACTGCACAAAGACTGCAAACTATTTCATTGATAACAGTAGACAATATTGTAATTGCCAACAATTGTATAAAAATTAAAGTGCCAGATCTTATCAAAACTTCAAGAATTAATGGTTTTCAACCTTTACATACTTTAAATTTTTTTATTGAAAATCAATGCATTTGTCCTGCAAAAACTTTAATTGATTATTTAGAAATTACAAAACCACTACGCAGAAATCATAATAAACTTTTTGTTACTATTAGAAAACCACACACCTCAGCCTCAATACACACACTTAGCAGGTGGATAAAAGAGATGTTGTCTGAGTCTGGGGTTGATACATCTATATTTTCTGCGCACAGTACGCGACATGCTGCCACTTCAGCGGCATACAGAAAGGGTCTTAATGTTAATTTAATAAAATCAACAGCCGGATGGTCACTAAGGTCTAAAAATTTTGCCTTATTTTATAACTTGCGTCTTAAAGTAAATGAAAACTTTGGAGAATGTATACTTAGAAATAAGTGATTTTAAAGAAATTTCCAAAATATATTGTTATATACATATACTGATAAGACTTTTCATTATTCCGCAAAAATCTATCAACATCTACATAGTCATATCAGACGAGGCGTTAATAAGTATAATAGAATGATCAAAGTAACCTCCCTGTAAGTGAACTTCGATCACTATTATACGCAGTTAACGCCTCGTCTGACGCTTCCCTCCCAGCTTTTAAATTTTCCCACCCCGCTCCATAATGAAAACTACGATAATAATTCTTTAAAGTTAATGAATATTGTTCGCCCGGTTGGGTTGCCATATACTCGGGAGACAACAGCAAAAACATTTTTTTTACACATAATTTGGTTACTTAACCAAATCCTTTAAACTCGTGTTTGTTAATGCGAAAAGTGCATAAACTACATAGTCATATCAGACGAGGCGTTAACTGCGTATAATAGTGATCGAAGTTCACTTACAGGTAAGTTACTTTGATCATTCTATTATACATGAAATGTAACTATTATCTTTGTATATATATATATTTCTTCTGTCCGTTTGTATGTCACTTAACTCCTCCTAAACGGAAAAGCTTAGTGTTTACACGACAACGTTAAAAAACATACTCAAAAATACTTTTCTTTTGTTCATTAAATACATGTTATCTGATACCGGCTGCAGAGAGATATAGACAAGTTAATGAAGTTGAATAAAGACAAGCCCCAATACTCAAACATCTCGAAGTGTGTGACTATCAGTTTCTATCAGTACAACCCAATCTTGATTAGTTACAATATTGACGTGATACAACTTCAAGACGGGTATGTTTACCTAGGACAGTTAGTCCGATTAGTTAAGTCCAACTTTGACGCAGAGTCCAATCGGCTAATCCAACTCGGTGAGGCAGCGTTCGGGAAACTTCGGCACACCTTCTCGTTGAATATTTAAAGACTAAAAGTCTTCAATCAATGTGTGCTGCCAGTGACGACCACGAGAGGTGGTTTGTCACTTCTGGCCGGAGGAAGCTCAAAGGGCTATGGTATTTATCTGCGTGATACAGTTCGTAATAAAGACATCCATAGTAGGATACAGATAACCGACATAACCAATACCCGCAATATATATAATATACCCAAATCTCAAGGTACCTAAGGAGCTCCTTAGGTACCTTGAGATTTGTCGAAAGATCTGCGATCGCCAGTATATTTTGCGACGGGGTCAAGGCGGTAATTTTGTGTCCTTATGTTACCGAGTTCAGACGTACCCTTCGTTCGGGTTTTGTTTTTTGTCTTTTCATCTGGATCTAATTGCATACATTTTTTATAACAATAAACGCGCCAATGATAATGATAATGAGCGTTTAGTGTTACAAATAATGCGCTATGTGTTAATAAATATTTATACAGTACGTACACATGTGAATGCATCGTATACATAAATTGCTAATGAATGGTCTCATAAATTGCGTCTCAATATATTTATTGTAATGTTTTGTATGTTAAACATAATATTAACAATTATCTAAAGAATAGTGAGACATAAACTAGAAATAAGGAAAAACTAACTACGCCATTGTTTCGCCTACAAAAAGTAAACAGGTCGTTCATGGGACAAAGTGTGCGCATGTATAATAAAATCCCACAGTCGATATTAAGTCTACCACTTGATGAATTTAAACGAAAAATTAAAAGTAAACTTATGACTAAAGCCTATTATACTATTGCCGAATATCTTGACGACGCCAATGTGTGGGGTTAATACTGTTGATACTCACGTAGGCTAAAACAAGACTATTGTACCTGTAACTATTATATTGTAAACTGATTTTTTTAAAAAGAGCAACTGTTGAGTTTCTTGCCGGCTTCTTCTCAACAGAAACTGCTTTCCGAACCGGTGGTAACTTACGAACGTGTTAATTTCTTGTAAAATTTTGACGTTTCATAAGAACGCACAAGCGTCTATGTGAATAAAGATATTTTATTATTATTATTATTTATTAATAAGTGCGTGAGTGTGGATGGTTTACCTAAAACCGGTTTCTATTGCAGCATCAAAGGCCTCATTTTCTCACCTGTATATGCCAGAAAAATGATAACAACATTATTTTAGTCATTTCATCTACCAATATTTAACGTAACGTAAAAAAAGTACTTATTTCA